CGTGTTGATTAAGTCGTAAAACATTCTTTAAACGATCAATAGATTTTGTTAGAAGGTTAAGCCTGTGAACTTTACTCAACAAAGTTTGGACGTGGGAAAGATAGAATCTTGTTTTAAAATTATTCATATTGTTTAAGTTTTGGAGATAACTACCGAGCTATGAACCGTTTTGTTGGGTAATGCTACCTCCGCTCCCTCAACTACCCCCACCCGTTTCCTTCTCCTCTGTTACGGTTCGTTAAAATTTAGGGAAAAGTCACCTGTATCCTCTCTGGTGCAGAGTCGAACGATTATCAACCTTTCCCCATCCCCCCTTTTGTTCAGAGGGATGAAGGTGCGACCGAGTGCTTCTGTACTGCTTTTTATGCCGTTCATAGTTTATGCACCTTTTTCTTTTTTACCATTTTTTCGAGTTATTTACCTTCCTGTTTCATTATATCGAACTGTTTTTTTTTTCTCATCTCTTTTTTTTAACTCTTCCTCTTCCTCTCCACACTGGGGTTTCCGCCTCAGTGCCTTTCGTATTTCATCTGTTATCGATTGAGTTATGTGTCCAAACTATGGCAATATTTACTCTGTCATATCTTTGATCAATCACATATTATAAATTATAATGATGTTCTTGGACTTTGAGGTGCTATGCTGTTATTGTCAGTTTTGGTATATTATATATATATATATATATATAATATATCTAACGTTGGTTGTATTCGAAAGTGAATAAATGCTTCCATTACACCTACTGCTCGCCAATTTTGTTATTAAAGCTGACCTGAATCAACCACGCTTGTATGGGTGCTAAAGAGCGCCACTGCACATGGTAGGCGAAGTCCTACCTCTTACGCGGGTGTTTGAATGGCGCCACTGGTAGGTCCTACTTCTTTACTTTCCCTCTCTCTTGTTTCTCTCTGTCTGTCTGTCTTACTTTTTACCAGCACATTAGTGCGATCGAAAATTCGTGGCGAAACTTACTGTAAAATATTTCCTAAACTATCTAACAAGACTCTCCAGCTTTTGCACAATGACCTGTATCAACGTTTATCTTAACAGATCAATATTTTGTAAACTCCTGCTAGCTATATTCTAGAAAATTCCTTCATGAACACTAATAAAACATCCAAGTGGGTGGTTTCTACAGATTTTGAAAGGTTTACAGCTGGGGCAATAAAATAATCGCAAGTCCGTCATTTTTTTCTAATCGTGACTCTATCTTTATTTAACACATGTTTTGAGAGCCTTTCGTGCAAAAAACTGTGTTCACTATAAAAAATTAATTTCTTGTAACAAGTTTTGCCACTAAAAAGTGTCATTGGTGAGCCATATGCGTAGGCAATGCAAAACGCGTGTGAGAAGCCGGAAGGGCTATGCTTTATAGTACAGGTGTATTTTATATACCTAATTTACGAAGGAACATTTAAATAAATCTAGCTTCAAACGTTGTGGAAAATGATGATTAAGTTAAGACAAGTTGATACAAACTGCTGTGCAGCAAAGTACG